GTGGTGGAGCAGCTGCTATTTTGGGTGCCTTCAAAGCCACTGTAAAGCAAGTAAGTAAAATGTGTTAATTGATATCATGTATCCCAGCACTGCCAAGGAGCTTGGATGTATTCCCAGAGACAGAGGCCTGTCTAATCCTGAAGTTCTGACCTGCCCCTGCTCTTAGTGAGCTTCAGCCACTCTGCTCTTTCTGCTATTCCAGGAAAATATTTCACATCTTTACTGGGATCTTGAAAATTGTGAGAAATTCCTTGAGTGTTGATTTTTTTAAGGGTCTTCCTTGAATTTCAGAGATTGTTCTATGGACTGAGTGGTTTCTAGTTCCTTTGATTCAAGACTGATTCAAGATTCAAGGTCTTCATTCAATAACTTGAGTTATCCAGTGCTGATTTTGTTTAAGCTGTGGGCTTTGGGGCAGCTGTTGTCACCTTAGCAAAGAAGGGGATGAGTGACTCTGGGATGTGAAGTCTTTCTGTATTCCAAATCCTGTGCCAGGTCTAATATTAACCTAGTGGGTAAATAGCAGCTCTGGTGTCATCAGGAGCTGCTTGTTGGTTTGCTTCTGTGGTCAGAAAGTAGTGGGGGAGCTGAGAAGAAGCCAGGTATTGAAATATGAAGAATTACAAATATTCCTATTTCACTTTAACAATGCAAACTGGGGAAAAGTGGCTGCTGCCAATAAAACTCTGCCCTCTCCACAAATCCAGTGACTGAGTCTTGCTGACAGAGTAGCTATTGCCTCCAAGGAGTATCCAAAGTTCAGAAAATATTTACTGCTGCAGATTAATGCATAGATCTGATGGATGCTTTGTCCAGGGGCTAGTCAGTGCCAAATTCCCATTTCTCAATAGTCTAGCTCTGTGCCTTGGCCCTAACAGCATGTTTGATGTGGAAAGATTGTAAACTTCACAGTTATCTGCTGAGAATTGAAATTGAAAACAGATTTGTGAGCTGCATCTCAGGCAGAATAACTACCTTGCATAACTAAATCCTTCAGAAAGTTATGTCAGAGGTCTGCAAGGGACAAGAGCTGGAATGTGGATCTTTGGGATAGCCAGGCTGGGGGGACATTGGTTCAGTCCTTGTTTCCAGAGTAGTTTTGTGTGTGATTGCCTGCCCTGAGAGAAGTTCCATTCACAGTCCCAGCAGATGTGAGCACGAGTCTGTCAGTTCATACACAATTACTGCAGCAGTGAATAAACTGCCAGTGATGTGTTTGGACTAACTGAGCCTGGAGAAATCTTTATTTGTAAAAACAAAAGAATGAACTCACTGCCTAATTTTACAGTCTCGTGTGAGAAGACCTGTAAATGACATCCCTGCAGAAAATATGTTCAGAGAGGCAGTGGGAAGAATTTGTTGTTACTATTTCAAGTCGTTTTTTTTAAATGCTTTTAAGACTAAAAGAAAGGGGGAAGAGGTTTCACTGAGCTATGCTTTGTCACAGAGACTGAAGTGGGAAATGTGTGCTGGATAGAAAGCTCAGTGGGAAGAAGGGCAGAGGTTATTTTCCATGTTCATAAAATATCTGCCTGCATGCTGTTCAGCAGTTATACATCATTATTTTAAAAGGCTTTGGATGGCAAAATTAAACAAGTGATTTTTCCTAGAAAGATGCATTTCCTCTATTGTGAGCTTTCCAACACAAGAGAGAAGAGAAAAAGATTGACTTAAATTTTTGATTTCTTTATTGTTAACATGATCCTGCATGTTAGCATAGTGAATCCTGCCTTTGAAGAGCTGCAGGCAGAATGAGCTTCAGGAAGAGGCAGCTGATACTGGAAATATATTTTCACTTTTTGACACTAGATTAGATTTTCTTGGTGTAGAAAAGTGCAGTGCAGAGCAGTGAGACTGTGAACAGTTGGGTCCTGGAGGGAAGGTCCATCCCCAGCAATGCTGTTTGCCCACAGCTGGGCTAGAAACTGGAATTACTTTCTGGCTTCTAAATGCTGCCTGTTATTTTGAAAGGTTTTGATTGATGCCTTTGCCCTTTAAACTTCAGAATATGAGCTGACTCAGCAAGCCCAGATTTCTTCAGCCACAGACTTTTATCAAGAGATTAAGAGCCAGGTTTTCCCCCAGAATTTGATGTTGTTAACTATCCCAGTTAAGGAGGAACGTTTTCATTTGTTAAATGCTGCTGACTCCCTGTCTGTTCCTAGAATCCCTCCACACAATACAACTGCTGTATAAATAACAGAATCATCATCCATTTTAAAATACCATCCATAACCACATTAGCACTTGACTTTAAACCAAAATTAAAACATTATGAGATAAACTAGCAGAGAGGAGGCTGAGAAAAAAAAGAAAAACACAACAAAACAGGTTAAAAATGCTCTGTGCCCCTCAGCAAGAATGACACATTCTGAAAAACCCAAGTAACACCCACCCACCTGTCCAAAAACCCCACCAGATTTCCTTTGAAAATTGTAGCATTGCTGTGAAGGGGTGTTAATCCCTCTCTGATTTCAGTCCCAGTACATCAGCTTGGTGTGAATCAAAAGCCTTTTCTCCCTCTGGTTGTTACAGGGGTTTAAGGACAATCTTCATGCTGTTTTTTGCCTGGCTGAGAACGCAGTGGGACCACGTGCAACGAGACCTGATGACATTCATGTTCTTTACTCTGGAAAGTAAGATTGTGTCTGTCCCTTTCCCATAAACAGAACAAACATCATTTTTCTGTTAATCTGAGAGCCATGCAGGTTGTGAAGCTGTCCATAAATCAGCTTCCCTAAATATTGATAATTGCATTTCAGACATCCATAGTGGTGAGTTTTAAGTGTGCTTAGATTTTCCTGTGGGGTGTGTGGAGATACATCACAATACATGGATATCATGAGCTGCACTTCCCTTAAAGCACTCAGAATTTAGGGGGTTTTTGTAGTAGAACCAGTTTTCTGTGTCCATCTGCAGCTGCACTGTGTGACAAACCAGCAAAGACAGGCCACCAATGGATCAGAATCTCTTTTAAGAACAGATGTTACTTCTTTGGCAGTAATTTGTAGAATCCCAGCATCACACAGGCTCAACAAGTAGAGCCTGCCACGAGGGCAGCACTGTCCTTTCCCTTTTCCTTGTGTGCTCTGTCTGGATGCTTGGAGCTGGGGAATAGCAGCCCTACAGACTTAGAGAGTCAAATAAGAGAAGCACACGATTCTGAGGCTGCTCTCTGAAGTATTCCAGTCCAGGCAGGTGAGTCCTGACTTCCAGCCTGGAGCAGTCCAGTGTGACATGGCCTCTCTTCTCCCAGAACTGTGGAAATCAATAACACTGATGCAGAAGGTCGCCTGATCCTGGCTGATGGAGTTGCTTATGCCTGCAAAGACCTTGGAGCTGATATCATTCTGGATATGGCCACTCTTACTGGAGCTCAGGTACAGCACTTCACACTCATAACTCGGCTTCTCTTCTGTTCTCTGTGCAGCTCTTTTGCTTTTGCATGCTTCAATGAAAAGTGGTGTTCTGATGGCATCAGCAGCTGATGTGAGCAGGCCAGTACTCTGTGTTTGCAGTTCAATTTATAATTACCAGAACTGATTTCTTAATAGTGATCAGGGTTTTCTTGTCCATGACATGGCTTCCAAGTCATACACAGAGTGTACAAGGGTACAAATTTAACACCATTATTTTCTAGCACCTGTTCCTGTTTTATACAAGGTTATATTGATGAGCAGTGGTGGAAGGGGACTTCTTCCTGATTTTGTCCTTCACCTCACCAGGGAATTGCTACAGGGAAATACCATGCTGCTGTCCTTACCAATAATGAGGAGTGGGAAAAGGCTTGTGTTAAAGCTGGCAGGAACTGTGGGGACTTGGTCCATCCTCTGGTGTACTGCCCTGAGCTGCACTTCAGTGAATTTACCTCTGCTGTAGCTGATATGAAGAACTCTGTAGCAGTAAGATTTCTTTTTTCTTTTAAATTTCTCTATTACATAAAAATATGTGTTTTGTAGACAATGAGCTGGCCTGCTGAAAGCTCTTCATGGGGAGCTTTTAGAAATGGGACACATTGTCCTGGTGTTCAGGGTCCTTCACCTGGGGCTCTGCAGGCTGTCTTTAGTGTCAGTTTTAAACAGGGTAAGGTATCTTTGGGCTGCTTGCCTTTTAAACATGGCCCTAAATGAATGCTGAATTCCTGGATGGAGACCTTTTAGGAGACCAAGATGGGCATTCCTCAGCTCATACATCACCAGCAGAGAAAGTAGCTGGGAGTGCAGAAACCAGAAACTGAGGATGGAGGCCTCGGAATTGCTGCAGCTGCTTTTGCTGCATTTGAGAGTTCCAGTGTGCAGTGAGGTTCTAAAAGCACTGCAGAAAGGAGTGTGGGCAGGAGGGGAATTGAGCAGGGCCACCCTGCTGCTAGGGACTAGGTCAAGGATTTACAGCCAAGTTGGTTTGCAAGACTGTTCTAGGGCCATTTGTTAAGCTTTGAATGAGATTTGTGTAACTGGCTTTCCTCTAGACAGAATGAGCCATTTACATTTTCTCTGCTGGTGAGACCAGCCCTATTTTCATTGCTCCCACAGGACCGAGACAACACCCCCAGCTCCTGTGCTGGGCTCTTCATTGCCTCCCACATCGGCTTCGACTGGCCGGGGGTGTGGGTGCACCTCGACATCGCGGCCCCCGTGCACGCCGTGAGTGCCTGCCCTGCTGGGGAGCACAGCTGGGGAACACAGCTGGGGAACACAGCTGGGGAACACAGCTGGGGGAAATCACAGCTGGGGAAAAACACCTGGGAAACACAGCTGGGAAACACACAGCTGGGGAACACAGCTGGGGAACACAGCTGGGGAGCACAGCTGGGGAACACAGCTGGGGAGCACAGCTGGGGAACACAGCTGGGGGAAAACACCTGGGAAACACACACCTGGGGAAAAACACAGCTGGGAAACAGCTGGGGAAAAACACACCTGGGGAAAAACACCTGGGAAACATACACACCTGGAGAAAAACACACCTGGGGAACACAGCTGGGGAAAAACACAGCTGGGGAACACATCTGTGGAAGAACACACCTGGGAAACACACCTGGGGAACACCTGGGAAAGCACACACACCTGGGAAAAAACACACCTGGGAAACACACCTGGGGAACACCTGGGAAAGCACACACACCTGGGAAAAAACACACCTGGGAAACGAACACACTTGGGGAAAAACACACCTGGGAAACACACCTGCTGCTGCCTGCAGGAGCTCTGGTTGGGTCCATCCAGCTCAGAAGGACAGAAATAGGTGGAGAAAAGGTCCTATAGAAAAGCACTGACTTGTCTCTGTTGCAAGTTTGTTGGTTTGGTAGTTTCATCTGTTCGTATTTTTCATTTTGGTTTTCAAACATTCTAACAGCCACTTTAATCAGTGACATCTTTATCATTGTGAGCATTGACAACTTGCCTGGTCTCTGTTCATGGCAATAATCCCAGCCTTCCATTTTCAACCACGTTGTTTTAAGATGATTGACCAGAATTGATCATCCTTCCAAAAATATGTTCCCTTTGGTGGAACTTGTGTATATTCTTTTTTTTTTCCTAAAAACCAAGCCAATTCACTCCACTTGCTTCTTTTCTTTTTTAAACCCAGTTTATTCAGCTCATATTCCAAACCCAGGCTCAGGCTGGGTGGGAGATCCCCTGCCCTGAACAATGCTGGCCTCTCTCCACCCACAAGTGGAGAGAGCTCTGCTCTCATGTGTTGGTTTAATCCAGCTGGGACAGATTCCAGTGGTGGTGAGGATCCAGCAGCACAGAGAGGGGCTGGCAGTGGCTGCTGACCACCACAGCTCTCCTTGGCTCAGTAGCCAAATCAAAACTCCTCCAGCTCCTCCAAGTGTGACCTGTGGTTTGGTTTTGTTCTAGGGTGAACGAGCCACTGGCTATGGCGTGGCCCTGTTGCTGTCCCTGTTTGGAGGGGCCTCTGAAGACCCTTTGCTGAAGCTGGTGTCCCCCCTGGGCTGCAGTGGGGACTCTCCCCCTGAAGGGATGGAGAGGGACTCCAAGAGACGGCGCCTGGTGTGACACAGCCCAGCCCTGTGGTTACCTCACTTTGCACTGACCTGTCCTCAAGCAATGAAATGTCACGCCTCAGAAATTCCCCCTTTTTTTTTATTATTATCATGATAAGATTTATTACTTGTTTCTGATAAAAACAGCCTGATGTATTGTTTAGTTTGGGGTTTTTTTTAAATTATTGGTGCACACAGTTGCTGAACAATATCAGTGGTGCAGAGTCCAGGCTCAACTAACTGTATCAGGAAGAGGCCACGTCCTCCTCTGAGCTCCTCACAAACCTAACTAAGTGCATTAATGCATGAGAAGCTCTCTCTAGTCTGAAGAAGCAACTGCAGCTTTGCTTACAAAGCCTTCTGAATTACTTATTATATGTGAGGTTTTATCAGACATTTCTGCAGGCCCCACTACATCTCAGAACACAGGACAGGAAAAAGAACTCCGTAGACTTGGCTTATTCAGAGACAGTTTAGCTTAGCAGCAAAGGGGATGTAGTGAGAAAAGGCCTATAGGTGCTGTTTGTGCATGTTTTAATGTTCTTCTGACCAGTAAAATCAGCAAGAAGGGTTCAGAACATATCTCTGTGTAATTTTCACATACAAATTACAGAATGTATTCATGTTAAATGAGGAAAACAATAGAGGGACTGTGATTGAGTAAAATCAGTTTACAAAGCAGAGTGGCTTCTTGCCACTTAATAAATTTATTATTATTAAAGAGGCTTACATATCCCATGTGGTGTTTTGTGGTGTTATTTACATTTCTGAGAACACTGAGTGCTCCAAAACTCTGTGTACAACATCATTACCCTGCTCACATTCCTCTTCCCAGCACTCAGAGCTGAGAGAGGAACAGCTTGCAGCTTGCTTTGGGGCAGCCCTGCAGAACTCTCTGATTGACTTCATTTGATTCAGCAGCAGTCAGGGTGCTCAGAGTGAGTTTCTGCACAATCCAGGCAGCTTCCAGGCACTGGTTTGGCTGGGACACCCACGGGAAGTGACTGGCCCCAGTTGATGTCATGGCAGTGACAGGGCTGGGAACAGAGAGACCAAGTCCCTGTGCTGGGGCTGCACAGCAGCCTTTGGAAGCATTTCCTGGCTCCAGCAGCGTCAGCAGTGAGAAATCCCCCCCAGCACCCCCTGGCTGCTCTGCAGGTCAGGGCAAGCTGAGCTGTGAGGGATTGTCCCTGTCCCTGCTGTTGGGTTTAGCTGGAGCTCCAACACTGAGGGACACCAAGAGTTTCATTAAAGACTTCTTGGAAAGCTTCATGCAGAAGGGAGAAGGAACATGTTCCAATCTGATTGTGTGGCCCTATTTGATAGACAAAATGTAACTTTGAAAAAGGACACCCCAGAACTTCCTTACTTCCTGTATTTGTTTCTCCCTTGCTGTTCTGGCTCCCTGGTCCAGCTGGGTTTTAAGAAATCTGTATCTGAATGAGTTCTGCCCGTGGTGATTCTTAGCACTTGGTGTAAAGCACTACCTGGTACCAAAAACTGCCGTGGGAAATGTGTTGATGAAGTTATTTTTATTACAGATTCAGCACTGAAGCAAATAGCAACATGTTCCCATTTCAGTGCTCAGATCATCTTCAATCTCCATCTTGTAGAAGCATTATTCAAATCAATCAATTCTAATGTTGAAATGTAGTGTTTTGCCAGATTTTTACGTAAAAAGTGCCCTGTGGCTTTGTGGCACGAGACTCAATTCTGATGTTCTTCACTGAATAACAGAGAAGTTTGATTTTGATGGCTGATTATCATATTCTTCAATTTTGCTGTGTCTCAAGGCATATAATTCTGCTGGATTTAATTTGGAAGGCACTTAATAGAAGCTGTTTTTAAAACTAAGTACCTCATATTAAAGAAATCTATTAAGAAAAACCTGAAAAGCAAATTAGCTATTTGGGAAATCAAAACCTGAATACCAGCTGAAGTTTGCTGAAGGACAGTAAAATAAATTAATTCAACACCTAGTAATAAAAAAGTCTAATGCTTCCTCTGTATCAGAGATACAAAATAAAAATCAAGGCTCTTTCAAATCTGTAATAAAATCTCTTGCTGTTCCTCATGTACATTATTATTTCCTTCTGTTTTGATAAAAGGTTATTCTCCAGAGCACCAGCTTTGGGCCTGCACTGGACAGTGATTTGTGAGTTGAATTTGCCAAATAAATTACTCTCTTTCCTCTGTGCTTGACAGAGCTTGCACTGGGATCATTCCCATTAAGCTCACAATGTTTCTTAACCCCTAATGAGTGGAATTTCAGTTCCCTTAGTTTACTCACCTGTTTCTGCTGCTGGGCAATTTTAACTCCTGGTTTTGCCCTGAGGTGTCCTGGTGTTAGACCCTGAAGCAATCTTCAGCAGGGGAGATCCCAGCACTGCCTTACAAACAGCAAATACATAAAATGAATATGTGGGGTCATTACCAAAGTGAGAATAAGCCCATGCTGAGCAGCAGAGCTGGCATTTGTCCCTGCAGCTGCCACCAGCCCTGGGGTGGGCAGGTTCCAGCAGCCACCCTGGCCGTGTGTCCCAGCATCACTGACACACAAAGCTCCCTCCTGTGGCAGAGCAGCAATTATTTACAGGGAACACTTCCAGGCACCAGGGCTTTGACCTCTGGATCTAGGTCTGCATTTGAAGTGTGCTCTGGCACCACTTCAGCAACTTTAACCACCAACCCTGCCTGCAGAGCTGTGCCAGCCCTGGTCCTGCTGGCCCTGGGGAGCCCTGACCAACCCGTCACAGGCCCCTCAGTGACCCCAACTCCAGGTTCCCAGGTGTCCCCCCCTCCTCTAGAGCTGTGCCAGCCCTGGGGAGCCCTGACCAACCCGTCACAGGCCCCTCAGTGACCCCAACTCCAGGTTCCCAGGTGTCCCCCCCTCCTCAGCTGCCTTGCTGCCTCCTGAGCGAGCACAGAGCCAGGGAGGTGCCTCCTGGTGTTGTTTTGGTCTTAGAGCTTAAATTTCTGCAGCTGGGAGCCCAGCACACTTTTAACAGGAGGGTGGCAAGCAGGAGCTCCTGCAGCTCTCCAGGAGATCTCATTTCCTCCTGGGGCTGTGCTGCTGTTCCCAGGGTGGCCCAGTGGGAGCTGACACAGGCAGAGGGTGAGTTAAGGATTGTCTCTGCCCTGCTCCAGCCCATCCCTCCGGGCTGCATTTGCTGTGAAATGTTTGGCAGACTGGGAGGACAAGGCTGATCTGCTGCTTTGCTTGTTCACGTGAAGTTGGTGCTCAGTCAGGGAAAAACCTGTCTGTGGTGTGTTCAGCTTGTAAACCTTACTGCAGGAAGGGCCTTTTCTGCCTTTGCTGTGTTTTGCCTGGAGGAAATTTAGCCAGCAGTGTGTTTTATCCCATTTTGGCACTGTGCTGACCGAACTGGGGACTGGCTGCAGACACGTCACCAGGGTTTTACCTGCAGCTCCAGAAAGATGGATTTGGGCAGAACAATATTTAGGAATTAACTTCTGCTGGGCAGGTCTGACCCTGAAGGTGCAGTAGGGATCTGGGCTCCCTTTGGGTGTGTTGGACCTCACCTGTAACTCTGGATTGGGGCTGGGTGTGGAGAGATCACCAGCCCTGCTCCCCCTGGGGCCTGTGAGAAAGGGAGGCACAGAAATCCCTGCTTGTAACGTGGACAAACTTCTGGACAAAGTATTTTTTGGAAAATAGTCTTTGGGACATCAAGACAAGCACCTGTGTTCCAGGTTGTTGCAGGTGAGTCATGGCATGTTTTATTTTCTAATTGCCTGTGCACAAAGCTACTACTGACCACATTTGCTGCAGCTGGAAAAGCATCCATACAAAGGGACCACACTGCACTCACCCTGAAGCTGCACAAAGGCACACCAGGCAATTAAAGAGATTTTTCTCCATTTGAATGTGTAAGGGTTGGAATTAGCACATCTCCCTCCTCCGTCCCCGTTGTGGTTTGTGTCTTGGAAATTCTGTTGCCTTGGTATGTGATGTCTTCTGGGCTCTGGATGGGAAAGCAAGAGTTTTCCAAAACTGCTGTGCAGGGATTTTTATTTTTCCCTTTCATGTTTTCTTTCAAACACTTCTCTTACACAAAACCCACAGAGAGAGTTCCAGGCAGCGTCCACCCATATGAAACCAGACATTTTTTTCCATAATCTTTTTATAGATTTGATAATATTTAACTCGGCATGTATTAAAAATGTATGGAGTACATAAAATTCATTATAAATGTCACCAAACGGGCCAATGGCTTTTTAATATCACTGCCACAAGACTGTATTTTAACCTATTTCCTGTCTGGATCCATTCCAGTGGCAATTCCAGGAGGGGAATATATTTAGTCTATATTTACTTAGTCTGTTTAACTTTCAGTTAGTGTCTTTGGCTGATCCCGTGGCCGTGCTATTTTGGGATGATTTATACAATATTTACATTAAATTCTGCTAATATTTCCTTGCCTCTTGAAGTCGGATTACACTATTTACATCTCAAAGGCCCAAGTTGGAGGAATAAGCAGCTGTTCCAGGCACCAGAGAGAATTTAGTGTAGGACAGGCTGCCAGCAATGAGACCATGAGTCTGAAATACTCGTGGAGGAATTATTTAGGATTGGACCCGTCCTCCATGAAGGAACCATGGAATGGTTTGGGTTGGAAGGGACTGTAAAGACTGCCTGGTTCCAAACCTCCTGCCACGGGCAGGGACAGCTTCCACTGTCCCAGCTGCTCCCAGCCCTGTCCAGCCTGGCCTGGACACCCCAGGGACCCAGGGGCAGCCACAGCTTCACTGGAAACAACCCCAGGTGTGAGGAGGTTCCCCTCACAGGGAAGAATTTCTGCCCAATATCTAAACAAATCTGT